GCTGTGAATTGTGTAAGACTGATGAATCACAGACCTCTACCTCTGAAACAAATAATACATTATATGTTAAAAAAAAAAAAGAAGATAGTAGGAAGGGAAAAATGAAGGGGGGGAATCGGACGGCGATACAAACCATGAGAGACTATGGACTCTGAGAAACAAAATGAGGGTTTTAGAGGGGACGGGGGTGGGGAGGTGGGTTAGCCTGGTGATGGGTATTAAGGAGGGCATGTATTGAATGGAACACTGGGTGTTATACTCAAACAATGAATCATAGAATGCTACATCAAAAACTAATGATGTAATGTATGTTGACTAACGTAACATAATAAAATTAAATTAAATTAAAAAAAGAAATAATAGTGATGAGCACTGGGTGTTATCTGCAACTAATGAATCATTGAACACTACATCTAAAACTAATGATATGTTGGCTAATTGAATTTGATAAAAAGAAAAAATAAATAAAATAAAATAAAAAGAAATAATAGCTGAAATCTTCCCTAATCTGGGGACGGCAACAGATATCCAAATCCAGTAAGTACGGAGATCCCCCAACAAAGTCTACATGAGAAGGTCCACACCAAAATACATAGTAATTAAAATGGCAAAATGTAATGATAAAGAGAAAATTAAAAGCAGTAAGAGAAAAGACAGTTGCATACAAAGGAAACTTCATAAAGCTATCAGAGGATTTTTCAGCAAAAACTTAGCAGGCCAGAAGAGAGGAGCATGAAATATTCAAAGTGCTGAAAGGAAATCCACAGTCAAGAAAACTCGATCCACCAATGCTATCATTCAGAATAGAAGAGATAAGGAGTTTTTCAGACAAGCAAAAGCTAAAGGAATTCATTACTACTAACCTAGCCCTGTAAGAAATGTTAAGGGGGTGGGGGGGTGCCTGGGTGGCTCAGTCATTAAGCATCTGCCTTAGGCTCAGGTCATGATCCCAGGGTCCTGGATTGAGCCCCAAACCAGGCTCCCTTCTTGACAGGAAGCCTGCTTCCCTCTCCCACTCCCCTGCTTGTGTTCCCTCTCTTGCTGTCTCTCTCTTTCTCTGTCAAATAAATAAATAAAATCTTAAAAAAAAAAAAAAAGAAATGTTAAAGGGTACTCTTTGAGTGGAAAAGAAAGATCATAATAGTATGAAAAGTAGTAACACAAAAGCAGTAAAAATATATGTATCTATAAAAATCAGTCAGGGAGATTCACAAAATAAAAGGATGTAAAATATGCCACCATATACCTAAAATGTGGGGAAAGAGGAGTAAAGAATGGGTTCAAATTTAGGCAACCATAAACCTAATATAGACTGTTATATGATTAAGCTGTTATATACAATCAAATGGTAACCACAAATCAAAAACCAATAATAAGTATGCAAAGAGAAAGGAATCCAAGTACATCACCAAAGAAAGCCAGCAAATCATGAAAGAGAGCAAGAGAAGAATGGATCAGAGAAGAACTATTAAAGCAACCATAAAACAAGTAACAAAATGGCAATAAATACATATCAATAATTACTTCCTTTGTAAATGGACTAAACTCTCCAATCAAATAACATGGATGATGGAATGGATAATGCTGCCTACAAGAGACTCATTTCAGACCTAAAGACACAGGCAGATTGAAAGTGAGGGAATGGAGATTTGCATTTATCATGCAAATGTATGTCAAAAGAAAGCCAGGGTACCAATACTAATAACAGACAAACTAGACTTTTTTTTTTTTGACAGCTCGTTATTTTTAATGTGCAATACTCAAGGTACAAGATAATGGCATCTAATGTTGTTATCAATCAAAGAGAAATCAGCTCAGTCATCAAGGGCTCCTGAGTGAATGACATCTTCATAACCTCCATGCTTATCTTTCCTTTCCAGGTATAATTTGATAAGATCATCAATTTGAAGAATGGTAATTGAAGCTTCTGTCACAAATTTCAAACTCTTAACTTTCTCTATGGTTTGTTCAAATATCCCTGCTTATTTGTTCTCTCGAGGTTTACCACTGACCAAATCAAGACCAATCCATTTGAGATTTTTGCATTCTGGGTTAACTTGAGCCTCATTATGGAAAGCTCTTAACTTTGCAGTGAGATCTGTGGAGTTTGGGGCAGCATTAACTGCCAGTGTGTTAGGAATAATAAGAAAAGATCTTGCAAACTCCGCAATAGCAAGCTGTTTTTGAGACCCCATGCTGGTTGTTTAGTTTTCAAGGTACATGGAAGGGGCTGCTTCTACAGCATCCCCACTTGGAACCAATCCCAAAGAGCATCATGTAAAGAGTGCTTCATCTCATCACATGTGAAACCATTTGCCCCACATAAGATAATTGGTGCAGATGTATGAGTCTTAGTGCTATTTTAAAAAATAAAGTGAAATTCTTAAATCAACATTTTTTTTAAAGGTTTTATTTATTTGAGAGAGAGAATGAGATAGAGAGAGAGAGCATGAGAAGGGGGAGGGTCGGAGGGAGAAGCAGACCGCCCGCCGAGCAGGGACCCCGATGCGGGACTCGATCCCAGGACTCCAGGATCATGACCTGAGCTGAAGGCAGTCACCCAACCAACTGAGCCACCCAGGTGCCCTTAAATCAACATTTTTATAAAATCAGTCTATATAGAAATTCACCATAATCACCTTGACTGAATCCTGCTTACATAGTTCATTCAGACATAAAATCAATATCTGGACTTCACAGAAGAGATGAAATTGTTACTCCAACTCCATTTACAACAGCCTATTGTTCTCTCCCATGTGTATAACTGCTTACTAAAAGACTAGAGCAGCAAATCAATGTAAAGGGACAAAATAAACTTTAACAAGAGACAAAGAAGGACACATAATAATAAGGGGGACAATTTAATAAGATATAACAATTGTAAATATATATGTACCCAACATGAGAGCACCCAAATACATAAAACAATTAATGGCTAACATAAAAGAACTAATCAATAGTAATACAATAATAGTGGGGGACTTTAACACCTCACTTACATCAATGGATGTGAATTGATCATCCAAACCAAAAATCAACAAGGAAAGAGTGGCTTTGAATGACACATTGGACTAGATAGATTTAACTGGTATATTCAGGAAATTCCATCCTAAAACAGTAGAATACACATCCTTTTCAAGTGCAGATGAAACAATATTCAGAACATATCACATATTAAACCATGAAACAAGTTGCAACAAATTAAAAAATAGTGAAGTTATATTATGAATCTTTTCTGATAACAACTCTATGAAACTAGAAATAAACCACAAGAAAAATCTGAAAATAGCACAAATACATTAAGGTTACATAACATACTAGTAAACAATGAATGGGTCAACCAAGAAATCAAAGAAGAAATCAAAAAGTACATGGCGAGAAATGAAAAAACTACATGGTCCTGAATCTTTGTGATACAGTCAAAGTTATTTTAAGAGGGAAATTTATAGCAACATAGGCCTACCTCAAAATGCAAGAAAAATCTCAAATAAACAACATAACCTTATACCTAAAGGAGCTAGAAAAAGAAGGACAAAAGCCAAAACCAGCAGAAGGAAGGAAATAATAAAGATGACAGCAGGAATAAATGATATAGAAATTTTTTAGTTTCTTTCCGTTTTTTTAAAACAAAACAAAACATAATAGAACAGATCAATGAGACCAGGAGCTGGTTCTTTGAAAAATCAACAAAATTGGGGTACCTGTGTGGCTCAGTCGGTTAAGTGTCTGCCTTCAGCTCAAGTCATGATCCCAGGTTCCTGGGATCGAGCCCCGCATCAGACTCCTTGCTCAGTGGGGAGCCTGCTTCTCTCTCTGCCTATGCTACTCCCCCTGCTCATGCTCTCTCTCTCTGTCAGATAAACAAAATCTTAAAAAAAAATCAAAAAAATTGATAAACCTTTACCAGACTAATCAGAGAGAGAGAGAACTCAAATAAACAAAACCACAAATGAAAGAGGAGAAATAACAACTGACACCATAAAAATACAAATGATTGTAAGAGAATGTTATGAAAAATTATATGTCAATAAACTGGAAAACCTAGAAGAACTGGATAAATTCCTAGAAACAGATAACCTAAAATAATGAAGCAAGAAGAAATAGACAATTTGAACAGACTGATTATCAGCAATGAAATTGAATCAGTAATCAATAAACTCCCAACAAACAAAAGTCCAGGACCAAACAGCTTCACAAGCAAATTCTACCAAATATTAAAAGAGTTAATACCTATTCTCAAACTATCCCCAAAAATAGAAGAGAAAGGAAAACTTTCACATTCATTCTATGAGGCCAGCATTGCCTGATAACAAAACCAGATAAAGACACCACAAAAAAGAAAATTGACCAATATCTCTGATGAACATACATGCAACAATTCCCAACAAAATATTAGCAAACAGAATCCCAGAACACATTTAAAAATATCATTCACCACGATCAAGTGGAATTTATTCCCAGGATGCAAGTGTGGGTCAATATTTGCAAATCAATCAAGATGATACATCACATCAGTAAGAGAAAAGATAAAAATCATATGATCATTTCAATAGATGCAGAAAAAGCATATGACAAAGTACAACATCCATTCATGATAAAAATTCTCAACAAAGTAGGATTTAGAGGGAACATACTTCAACATAAAGAAGTCATACATGAAAAAAACCACACCTCAATGTTTATAGCAGCAATGTCCATAATAGCCATACTGTGGAAAGAGCCAAGATTTCCATCAACAGATGAATGGATGAAGAGAATGTGGTATATATACACAATGGAATATCATGCAGCCATCAAAAGAAAAAACCAAAATCTTGCCATTTGCAACGAAGTGATGGAACTAGAGGGTATTATGCTAAGCTAAAAAAGTCAATCAGAGAAAGACAAGTATCAAGATCTCACTGATATGAGGAATTCTTAATCTCGGGAAACAAACTGAGGATTGCTGGAGTGG